ACATGGGCCTCACACTGTCTCCAGCTCAGGCTCAAAGGCCAGCACTGCCCCGTCACAGCAGAGTGCTCTCAGGTGACCCACAGCTCAGCTACCTGTCCCCAGCCTCCTCGTTTCGAAGTTAAGATAAGATGCGCCTTTCAGATTTGTTGGAAAATCATTTAAAATGACAAACAAAGAGGGATGGAACTCAACACACAGAACTGCCTGACGATGTGTGTTTCATTCCAGGAGTTTTACCATCAAAACCATCTTCAAATGTTGGGGTGCTTCCGTTTCCAGAAAACTAGAGATGAAAATATTTTCGCAGTCACTCAATGCAGGAAGTTCAACCCCATATTTTTTTCTCTTAATTTTGATCCTTGAAACACAAAGCAACAGACGTAGCACCTTACATTAAAACAGCCCTTAGAGTTTATGACGTGCCTCCTCTGCATTCTCTCACTACGCAGTAGCAGTAACCCACAATCCTGACCCTTAAAACGCTCAGGACAGTAAGAGAAGCCGCACAGGCCCGAAGCTACGTGGCCACACCACAGAGCCCTTGCTGTCATAAAATATCTTGCATCAGTTGAATATCACATCACGTTTGTGCCTCAAAACAACCGCAGGCAAGAGGCCTCATGCGTGTATTTCAGATGCTGAGGAAGACTCTCAAGCCGGGTGACAGGTCCTGGGCCCCAGGGATTAGCGGCAGGGCCAGGCTGGAACTGAGCTCTTGTTACTCCAAATTCCATCCTCTTTTCCAACCTCCCAGTCCCTTTCTCATCAAACTAAAGCATCTCCTCCAACCAGGCCAGGACACAGGCAGGAGACAGTCAGGCAGGCGGAGGCTTCTGGAAGGGAAAGCAGAGTGGCTGAGGGCCCTGGGACAGAGTCTGACATTAGATATAAGACAAGTTTGGAAAGATCCAGATGGAGCCGAAAGGGAATCTGGGCGTGGGGGTGCCTCCTTCCAAAGTGCATCCACATCCGAGGTGACTGCAGGGAGATGCAGAGCTGACTCTGGCAGCAGGGACCGCCTGGGTGCAGAGAACCCAAACAACTGAAAATCCAAAAACGAATCTTAGTGCAGAATCAGAAAGCTCACTCTTTGGGCTGGTTACCTTCCCAACCACGTTCTCCTCTGGCCTATGTGAAACTGACATTGCACTGTACAATTCTGCAGCTCTTTCCTGACTGCCCACTGAGTGAGGGTCTGCGGTACATTCTAGGGGGATCCAAACATGAACACAGCTAGGTTCCAGCTCTGGGGCTCCCGGAAAGGAGGCGCAGGGAGCAGGACATGTGCTGCAAGGAGACTAATGCTCCCATGTCTCATTTACTCACTCATCCAAGGATAGCGCTAAGGCTCTGTGTGCCAGGCACTTTTCTAGCTACTGGGGATCCAGAGGTGAACAAAGTCTTTTACATTTGGGTGGTAAGAGACTGACAATAAACAAACAAGAATATAAATAACACACTGACTGGTGAGTACCAAGGAGAAACACAAAGCAAGGTTAACAAGAGAAGGGAAAGTAACGCTAATTTATGTAGAGCTGTCAGGGAGCGGGCAGTAAGTGAGGGAGCCGGCCAGGTGGGCATCTGGGGGTGGCTCATGCAAAAGGGGTGGGAACAGCAAGTGCAAAGGCCTGGAGTCAAGAGTGGCCTGGCAAATCTGAGGACCAAGGGATAAGAGGGAAAGAGCCCACATTCAGTTGGGATCTCCAGGATGGACATGGGCCAAGATGACAGGTGGGGATGGGGTGGCGACAACCCAGGGCAGATCTGGGCAAGGAGCCTGTCTGCCTGGAGCCAGGGCAGCCTGGAGGGGCCATTCTTGGGAGCAAGCAGGGGAACTTGAGAAAATCCAGCCAAGTAACATGGATGTGGAGGAAGCACTGGAAAGACACTGAAAGCCTGGACAATGGTGACACACCTGGCCAGGGCCAACTTGCAGAGTCAGGGGTACCCCACAGCCCAACCTGGGAAACCTCACAGCCAGCACAGAAATCATAATGCACACAGCAATCGCACCCCACCAGTACGTAGGGTTCCACAGAGAGAGCCTGGCTGCATGATCTTGAGGTCACCAACCTCCTGGGGCTCCCCTGAGTGTCTGGACAGGGAGAGAGGGGAGGATTGGCTTCAGGAGAGGCGAGAAAAGATGGTGCCCACGACAGCTGACTCAGCCTGTACCAGCAGGCTGCTCTGAGACACGAGCTGGACCCAACCCAGGCGGTGGGCGGCAGGGGGGTGGGGAGGAGCTCTGGGAAAGGAAGGAGCCAGAGAAGCCTCCCTGTGGGCGCTCGGCCCAACCACCATCGAAGAGAACAATGAGCACCTCCAACCCCCGCCGGGCACACAGGCTACCTCCGGGTGAGCAACCGTCTCAAACTTCACCTACACTGGGGAGACCTGCCTGGTCGTTAGTGGCTACCTTACACCCTACCTGTGCCTCCACGTCCCCAGTCCTCACGGCCACCTGGCAAGGGTGAGGAACTGAGACTGTGCAGGGAGGGCACACAGCCTGTGAGTGGTGCAGCCAGGCCCGCCGCCCAGGCCAGAGCTCTCTCCACTCTCTCTGTTACTCTAAGGACCAGGCTGCAAGGCAGGGCATGTGATCTCTGCCGAAGCCAGTCAAGCCACCCAGTGATGTGTGCAGGGTCTCGATGCCCACTGATCGCCAGTCCTCTTCTCCCCTGGACAGTAAAGGTTTCTCCAAGACTTCAGACCATGGTGTCACCTGAAGCCCACACCTGTTGAGTCACCGGGGCAGGTATGTGTGGCAGAGGACAGCGAGGAGCACCGGAGAGGAGCTGAGACCTGGAGGGGACCTCTGTAGCCAGGCTCAGCCCCTATTCTCCCCAACGACAGCCCTCACCGCAGCCACCGTGGCCCAATCCAAACAAAGCCCAGACTGATGCCAACCTCACCATCAACTGTTTTTCCTCTGACTTCCTCAGTTTTGTCTAGAAAAAATCAAGGTGTCTTATCACCCCTCTCGGCTTCCAGGGGTGTGATCAGTGTCTTTTACAATTATCTCTTATTTTTATCCAGTATTTCTTAGCTCAGTTGGCAAACTAGGTATTTATGCACCTCCATTTCACAATCCATCCCCACCAATTATGCCTGTAAAACTAACATTTTGTTGGGGGAAAAAAAAAAAGGTTAGGACTACTTAAGAAGGTTATGTAAACAAGTTAACCAGCTGGCCACAGCTTGGGTCTGGGGTGTCAGTGAAAACATGCAAGGTGGAAGAGAATGAGGAGCTGACGGTCACCAGTTTCACCTCCTTCCAGCGCCCGCCCAACTCTCCTGCTCACACACACTCACACCCCCTGGGACTCAGCCTGCAGCTTCTCAAATCCCATGAGCCCAGGAGACAGTGGGGAGGAGCACAAACCGCACTTCCTAACAAATGAGAGGGAAGACTCGGTGCCCCATCGCTAGTGCCATCATCCCCCAGCCTAGCCATGGAGCTCACTCCAAGGGCCCCCCTGCCAATGCTGCTAGAGCCCACCGAGGGAGGGCTGCCAGCACACAGCCGCAAGCTCCAGCTTCATCCACTCACGCCCTGGACACTGCCCGGCGCCCCAGCGTTCCAGGTCCGTGTCACCCTGGCCCTCCTGTCCCGCATATCCTAAGCTCAGGAGACTCCCTCCAGCCCAGGCTGCAGAGGGGAGCAGCTCCCATGGTTACCCAGGAATCAGTGCAGAGGGCAGGGCATCCTGGATGCCCCAGACTCGGAAACCGAGATCCTGTCCTCGGCGTAGTGGCCACACCTCTGGGAAGGGAGAAACCCCTGCCTCACCTCACTGGAGGGACCCTGACCCAGAGGCCCGAGAAAACGCCGCCTGCAGGCTCCTGGCACCTGCCAACATGCACCTCAGGAAAACTTGTCCCACTTCAATCTGCAAAGCTCTCCGGTCATTATTTCTAAAACCACTGTCCTTTCTCAAAGAGGAAGGAAAACAGAAACAAACAAAAACAGAAAGAGGCACAGGAGGTTGAAGAGGCCAGAGGCAGTTTAGCCCAAAAACAGTGCCAGACGCAAGATGTCGAGTTTGGGGTGCCTCACCCTCCACATGCCCATTTAGGAGCTGACTGCACTCAACCACAGATTTGCGTCTGGTGCCTGCCAGGTCCTATCTAAATAGATCTGAAAAATTAAGCCTTCCTTCTGCCAGTGAATACGAAGTTAAGATCAGCAGGCTCCTCTAAGGCTCTGCTCTCCACGGGGTCCTTGGCAGGCGTTGGCGAAAGGAAGTTCGCCCCCTCCCGCCTGGGCACACCGAGGCCCGCCGCCGGGCCCATGGAGCCCTGCTTGGGAACCGGGGGCCTCGATGTTCTCCTTCACCATCTGAGCCAGATCTCCCGCCAGCAGCCTTGCCAGGCAGTGCCTGCCATGGGGAAGGGGCCAGGCCAAAGGGCAGGTCCGTGCCGTGCCCCCAACCGGGCACCTGCAGCCCAGGGGCAACGGGGTGTGGGGTTTTTAATTTGTAAGTTTTTCCCTCTGGGCCTTATTATAAAGGGAAAGGGAAGGGGGCGAAGATCTGGGCTTGGGTTCTCCGAGGGCAGCGAACCCAGAGGCGACCCCAAACTCAGTAGTTGCCGCCCGGCACGGGGACTTGATGCCGGTGCCAAGCGGCCCGGCCAGCCCGGCAGAACCCGAGCGGACAGCACCGCCACACAGCGCCTCTTGCCCGCGCCGGATGGCCCCTTGCCGCGGTGCCCCCCTGCCAGGGATGCGAGAGCCGCCGCCTGGTCCCCGCCCCGCCCGCCCGCCCTCCCGTCGTGGGAGGGGGAAGGGGCCGGTCAGAGAGGAGTGGGGCCGCCGGGCTGTACCCCCAGATCCCAGCGGCGGCCGCCCCGCAGCCACGCCGAGCCCGGAGGGCAGCGCTCGGGAGCGCTCGGGCCGCAACCTCCGCGCCGCCCCCCAGGCGTCCGGGTTCTCGCGGCGCCCCGGGCGGCCCCAGGCTGCCGCCGCCGGCGAGTCAGGCAGCCCAGGTTCCCCAGCTTACCTGGCCAGGGCGCTGGGCTGCCCCGGTACGCCGCCGTCCCCGCCCCGCCGCCGCCGGCTCCGTCCGCGAGGCCGAGCTCTTTGTGAGCCCGCGCCGAGCCGCACACCGCGACTGCTAATGAGCCCGGGAAGCTGAATAGCTTCCCGAATAGCGGCGGGCGCGCCCCGGACGCAGCGTACGGCACGCAGGGCCGCCTCTGCCGGGCGCACGCGGCGCGGCTGCGGGGCGCATCCCGCACCGGCCTGTGGCTGCCGGGCCCGCGCCCCCGCCCCGGCCGCTTCCGCCTCACCCCCGCCGGGCACACCGAGGCCGGAAAACGATTCCCGGCTAGATCGCGCGCCGGGAAGAGAGGGAAGACAAAGATGCGTCCGTGCCGGGCGTGCGCGAGGCCCTGCGCCCCCTGGCCCCGGCGTTGGGGCAGTCGGCAGGGCAGGAGGGTGCACTCGGAACCTGGGTCCCGCCGGGCCGGTATCCGGGACCCGGGCTGGAACCCAGGCGCTGGAAGGCGCGGCGCCCCGAACGCCCCGGGTCCTGGGGAGCACACAGATTCCCGGGCGTGCCCTGGCCCTGCTGGCTGGGGAGCTGCAGGGGTCTGGTCCCGCAGGTAGAGCCGGTGAACGCGAGGCTCCGCACCCTGCCCGGGCCGCCGCGCCGTGCCGCGCAGCTGTAATAGGGGACCCTAGAGCGAAGAACCCTCGGTTCTTCCGAAAGCCCCATCCGGCAGGGGAGGCCCCCTGCTGCCTCTCACCGCAGCTCCCTTAGGCGCATGCTGGACTCCAGGTCTTCCCTGGCGGTCCCCGGTAACCATCCCAGCACCCTGTTTCTGATACTCTGTGCTGCTTTAGCCTCCAGCCCCAGGGCCTCACTCCAGGCCTTTCTCTCCTTGCTGTCCTAAATGGAGAGGACCCTGACCTCCGCGGGACCCTGGGGAGCACACACTCCCAGACACTCACATGCATCCCCAGGGGAGCCAGTCTTCGGCCACCTACTGCTTGAGAAATCCCCTGGAGGCCCTCGAAGGTCATGCTGGAGACTCCGGTGTCACCTTCGGCCCTCTGGCTCTTTCATTGAGTCCCAGGCAGATGTGATAAGCCGTGGGAGACGCACAGGGCGCCTTGTCTGGGCAGAACGAGGGCTCAGCTGCCTCCCACCCCCAAATCGTGGTGATTTGCCCTCGTTTTCTTTTCTCCTGTGGCTGGACTAGGCGAAGCTGTGGCATGGAAAGTTCTGAAGTTGGGGGGGACACAGAAGGGCAGAGGGACTGGGGGGTGAGGAGAGCGCATCCTCCTGCTGCCCTGAGGGCCAGAGCTGAGACCCTGAGGAGGAGGGGCTGGGGGAAGCTGAATCCTGAGATAGTCTAGGGTTAGATACAGTGTGGACTTGGCCTCTCCACACCCTGCCCCCACCAAACATTCACAGGCCCCCAGGGCCAGAGTGGCCACTGGGGGCTGCTCCTGGTAGGGGAGCTTTGTAGCCACAGGGCCAAAGGGGCAAAGGCCAGGGCAGGCCAGCAAGGTTCCGGACCTATGCCCCTCCCCACTCAGATGAGCACACCTTCACTGCCTACTTCCCACCTGCATGGACATTCTGCTTCCCTGGCTAACACAAAGTTCATCCAGCCTCCTGTGGGCCAGCCTTTCTCCAATGCCAATAGTGGGGAGCAACAATTAGGAAGAAGTGATTCCCAGAAGATAAATGCAGTCATCTTCTTGCCTTACTGTTATGTGGTCACAACCCATAGGAAACCAAACACCTGTGCCTGAAGCTGATCCACACAACACCCACCACCTCCTCAAACCCCCACCCCCATCAGTGTGAATGTGTGTGGGCCGGCCAGTTGCATGCTGTTCCTTCAACAGCCTCCCTTGAGATCTTCCCATGAGCAGGCTCTGGGCCAGTCACTGGAAATTAAACCCCATCGCAGCACCCGGGAGTGATAATGGCTGATGTCCACAGTCCACAAGATGAAAGGTACAGGCCTAGGGCCAAGAACAGTGACTCCCACCTATAATCCCAATACTTTGGGAAACTGAAGCAGGAGGCTCGCTTGAGCCCAGGAGTTCGAGTCTGCTGTGAGTTATGGTCGTGCCACTGCACTCCAGCCTTGGTGACAGAGCAAGACCCTATCGCTTTAAAAAGTAAAATAAATTAAATAAATTTAAAAATAAAGGTAAAGGCCTGCCCCCAGCCTCACTCAGGACCCCCAAATCTGGTGAGCTTGAGCCAACTGCCAGTATTCAGAGAATTTTTGAAGCATCATTAGGACAAATAGCTAGTGCATATGGGGCTTAAAGCCTAGATGACAGGTTGACAGGTGCAGCAAACCACCATGGCACACATACAGCCATGTAACAAACCTACACGTTCTGTACTTGTATCCGGGGACTTAAAATTTTAAATTAAAAAAAAGAAAGTATCTTGGAATGGGAAAGGCCTTTCTAAGTATGCAACAAAATCAAAAAGTGGTTACAAAAGACAGCTAAGTTTGACTTAAAGAAACTCTGGCATGGCAATCACTACCATAAGCAAAGTCAACAACAAAGGAGGAAAAATTATTTGCAATTCATATCACAAGCAGTTAATTTCCCTAATACCTAGATAGCATCAAGAAATTGGTAAGAAAAAAAAAATCAAAAGAAGGCATCGCAGATCATCACCGGGCCCCACCGTGGCTCACACCTGTAATCCCAGCTACTCGGGAGGCTGAGACAGGAGGATCACTGAAGCCCAGGAGTTCCAGGCTGCAGTGAACTATGATCATCCCAAGGCACTAAGCCTGGGCAGCAGGATGAAACTATCTCTTAACATAAAAGACAAAACAAACAGGTAAAGGGTAAGAAGCAGCAATTCACAGGGAAGGAAATACAAATGACTTTTAAACATCTGAAAAGCTGTCCTCCCTTATTCATAATAAGAAATGCAAATTAAGCTAGGCGGGGTGGCTCACACCTGTAATCCCAACACTTTGGGAGGCCAAGGCAGGTGGATCACTTGAGGTCAGGGGTTCAAGACAAGCCTGGCCAACATAGTGAAACCCCATCTCTACTAGAAATACAAAAATTAGTCGGGCGTGGTGGTGAGCACCGGTAATCCCAGCTACTCAGGAGGCTGAGGCAGCAGAATCGGTTGAACCTGGAAGGCAGTGGTTACAGTGAGCCAAGATTGCAACACTGCACTTGAACCTGGGCAAGAGAGCGAGACTCTATCTCATAAAAAGAAAAAGAAATGCAAATTAAAACTACGCTGAGATGCCATTGTGTTCACCAATCAGAGACCCAGGAGTTCAGTAACACAATATATTCCAGACAGCAAGAGGAAACCAGCAGATTCCCACACTGCCCGTGGGAGTATAAATCAGTACAACTTTTTTTTTTTTTTTTGAGACGGAGTCTCGCTCTGTCCCCAGGCTGCAGTACAGTGAGTTGATCTCGGCTCACTGCAAGATCGGCCACTCCACCTCCCTGCCTCCTGGGTCCACGCCATTCCCTGCCTCAGCTTCCCAAGTAGCTGGGACTACAGGTGCCCGCCACCATGCCCAGCTAATTTTTTGTATTTTTAGTGGAGACGGGGTTTCACCATGTTAGCCATGATGGTCTCGATCTCCTGACCTCGTGATCTGCCCGCCTCAGCCTCCCAAAGTGCTGGGATTACAGACTTGAGCCACTGCGCCCGGCCCAATCAGTACAACTTCTACATAGGAAAATCAGATGATGTCTATCAGAATTACAAATGCACAAGCCCTTTGACCTAAGAATTCTACTTCTAGGAATTTTTCGACTTGTATATCACACGTGCAAAATAGGCATGAGTAGAATCGTTCATGGTGCTGTGTTTCTGTGGTAAATGACTGCAGACAATCTTAGTATCCATGAAAAGGGGACTGTTCAATGCATGAGGGCACTTCCCAACACTGAAATAGGATGCAGCCATAAAAGAAGGAAGAAACGCATAATAAATTAACACCGGAAGTCCTCCAAGATAATTGCTAAGTGAAAGAACAAAGGGCAGAAGATGTGTGTAGTATGCCACATGTGAGTAAAAAAAGGAAAAAGGAAAAAAGAGGGAGCCTATAAATGCTCATATACAATCATAAAGCCTTTCTGGAAGGATCACAGGAAAGTGAAAAATGTTGATCACCCTTGTGAAAGAAAGTAATGTCTGGAGCGGGGGTGACAGGAAAACTTTTCAGTGATTTTCCTTTTCCTTTTTTTTTTTTTCCGAGTCAGAGTCTCTCTCTGTCGCCCAGGCTGGAGAGCAGTTGCGCAATCTCAGCTTGTGGCAAGCTCCGCCTTCCGGGTTCACACCATTCTCCTGCCTCAGCCTCCCAAGTAACTGGGACTACAGGCACCCGCCACCACGCCCATCTAATTTTTTGTATTTTTAGTAGAGACGGGGTTTCACCGCATTAGCCAGGATAGTCTCGATCTCCTGACCTCGTGATCTGCCCGCCTCAGCCTCCCAAAGTGTTGGGATTACAGGCATGAGCCACCACGCGCAACACCTTTTCGTTTTTGAAGTATATGGTATTATCTATCCCTGAGGAAAAAAATGCAATTATCATTCACAACCCTGGTTTTTAACCCTTTGGAGGGTAAAAGATCTCTAAAATCTTTTGTCTGTTGTTTTAGGGGGAAAAAGAAAAACAAGGAAGCTCTGTGACTGTATGTTTGGACCACATGGCTGTGATCCCTACCACCACTTAGTGACAGCATACATGAATTGCAGGCTTAATGCCAATACCATTCAGCCTAGAGGAGCTCCTGGACCAGGCCAGATTTCCTGCAAAGTGTTACCAAGTGGAGTTGGAAACTTGTCAATTCCTCACACCCTAACTTACTTTTTTAAAATAACATATGCCTTTCCTATATAGGACAGAAGATTAATGCATTGTTTTATAGGCTGAACAAGATGTTCCTTTACAAAACTTCCAAATGACGGAATACTAATTTTTCGTTCATTCTTTGGCTGACTGTACAAATGTGCTTAATTAATGAAGACATGTCCTCTCTCTGTGGGGATGGCAGAATAACTTCCCTTTCATAAAGTTACTGCTTGGCACAGGCCTTATTGGGCCTGTGAATTTCGAGCTCATAGGCTCCTCCTGCTGACTGCTCATTTTATCCCCGTGGAGTCTAAAGTGGCCTGAACCAAGAGCCAGGAGACCTACATTCCTGTCCCAGCTAAGACACTAGCTGGGGGGGACTCAGGTAAATCAGCTGGGGCCTCCACGGTACAGTTTCCTCCTGGGTTTAGGTGAGGAAGTTGGCCTAGAAAATCCCCAAGGTCCAGGGTGTGT